GCGGGAAGCCGGTGATAAATTGAATCATTTGGCCACAACACAAAAAAAATATGGACATTGGACAGCATATGGGTACTGCAAAGAAATAGCAAAAGTGGGCGATGAAAACGAATGTAAACGAATGCGTTGTGACTTGTGATGCAACATGCTGGACATGTCAATCAAGGCGTTGCTGGACTGGACTTCAGTCCTTCCTCTCGCCCTCGCCAGTTAGGTATTTACTTCCTCTTCGGTAAAACGCTGTATAAAGAGCACGGTGTAATAATCACGGTGAGAAAGATTTGAAACGCTTTTGGCCTTTTGTGTTATCAAAATACAATGTGAACTGTCGTTTTTTTAAGTGGAAAACTCAATGTAATTGGGAATGCGAATGAAAAAAGGAATTCCCTGTTGTGTTTCTGCATGATGGGGTGATTTTAATCGCAGTGATGCCACGATGAGATAAGCCTTATAAAAATAGCTGTTCTGGGGTTTAATTTCAATATAAGCCCTGACACACGATACCCTATATATCCAGCAAGAAATAACCATTATGACATCAAAAACTTTTTGCGTAGCCTGTGGCATGTTTTTATCATACGTTGCATCGACGAAGTCATTAAATTTGTGACATTATCATACAAAAAATTGATGTATGCCAAGCTGTTTCTCAAAGTATGCCACAAAAAGTAGCATACTTTCAATGCCAGCAAACTCGGCAAACAGCTGTTGAAAAAGCAGATCGGCGTACCAGAGGTACCTCAAATGTAATAGTATGCCAAAAAACGACGGACTTATGCAGTCATACTTTGTCTTTGTCTTGAATAAGTATCCCTGTACGGAGTTTGGTGAAACTGAATATGTCATAATATGCCAAAAGTGTATATGTACGCCGCCGTAATGGAATATATTCACTTGGTGAAATCGGGCCCAGGGCGCGGGTTAACCCGCGCCTGGCCGGTGCTCCGCGACTTCCGCGCCGGGTAGGGGGGGGGGGGTGTCTGGACACCCCTCCCCGTCTAACTCGGCTCCTGGGCCACGTAGCGACACGCAGTAAGCGGTATTCGAAAGTGTCATAAATAATGACGGAAACATTTTGGTCATTTTTTGGGTCAGGTCAAAGGTCAGGTCACCAGAGGTCCTCAAAGGTCAAATGTGGTCAAATTCAACAATTTTGGAAACTGCCAACGGCTAACTTGGGAACTAATAGAGCTACAGCGCCGCGAAAAAGCGCATTCGATAGCCCTTTTACAGACCTTTCTGAGTTTTGTTCTCAGATTTGACCTCAGGTCAATGGTTTAGCCTCCAGAGGACAAACACTGTAAAAATAGCAATTTTCATGAAAATAGTTTTTCGTCAATAACTTTCGACTCAAGAGAGCCACGACATTACTTTTGGCAGCGTCGTGTTCCTCTCGTCGAGACGCGTCGAATGAACTAATTTTCGACCTTGAAAAGTCATTTTGAAAATTTCACCTCAGGTAAAGGTCATGACCTGACCGGAAAGGGTCATGTTGCATATCAGTCGATCCGTATTTTCGAGCTGAATACATCTGACGTGTTTTCATCGCTCTAGCAGGTCTTCATCAAAAGTTATAGCCAAAAAACTGCTGATGACCGTTCATGACCTGAGATGACCTCGGGGGCACACAGAGGGGTTGCTGGTGCATTTTCTTTTTCCGATTCAGTGTGCCATGTTTACCTATGAGCCTATGTTTGAGAGGGTTTTGAACACCATTTGTCCAAAAGAGGTGCATTTCAATTTTCTCTCAATGACTGATAATGAAGAGGTCGCAAAATGGACCTGACCTTAGGTCACCGATATCAAAAACAGAGATGAACATTGTGTACATACTGTTACTCTTATCAATCGCTGAATGTTTCAAGGCGATCGTTCAGTCGGTGTACCGATGACGAGGATTGAAACTTTTTCTGAGGTGAGGTCACTTGACCTGACCTGGTGACCTGACCGTAAGAGCCCTGGGTCTGAAATTTTCACAACATGTGCGGTAAAGATGCATGAACAGGTGTGCTAAAAACCGCAGGGGGTAGGTGTTCAAACAACCCCCCTCCCCGGCCCGGCGCGGGTTAACCCGGCAGGCGGTGGGCCTCCCGGCCACCTTCAGCGCGGTGGGGGGGGGGGGGCATTTCCCCCCTCCCTGTATTTCCGAAAAACTGGACGGATCCGTAAAATTCAAACGGCGTTTGATAGCCCTGTCAAATTTTTCGTAGAAAAACCAAATTTCATTGACCTCGGGGTCACCGATGACGTCACAGGTCAGGTCAAAGATAAAATGTTTCACCGTTCACTGGTCTTCTAGGGAAAGCGCTATAACACCGAGTAAAACGCATTTTGTCGAAAATCAGCGATAGGGCGTCAGTTGTCTAGTACATATGTTGCTATTAGAGGTCACTGGTCATACCAGGTCAGGTCACAGGTCAGGTCACCAAGGGTCAACACATGAACCCAACTTTACTAAGGTTGTGCGATGCATGTTTTATGGCCAATTTTTCATTTTCAACTCAATGGTGTTGGTTATAAGACCATCAGGTACGGTTTAGGTCGCTTTCTGGTGGAGGTCAGGTCAAGGTCAGGTCAAATTAGGTCAATTTTCAAAGTTAATATTTTTGCATAAAATGGGTATCGATTCGATGCAAATCTTCGCGGGGAGTTCAATGGTGGTCTTTGTTTTGCGCTACGTTGTCTAGAATTGCTGAAAATGGAGTTCAAAAATTTGACGTCACCAATTTTAAACAGCTCTTTCGCTATAACTTGGCAAAAAAGGAGGTATCGATCTTAAATTTGTTATGCATATCGAAGAGCGCAGGGACTATCACATATATTCCGGTGTTTTCGAAATTGCAAAAAAAAAGATTTTTTTTTTGTTTTTCTAAAAAAATCATTTTTTTTTTTGTTTTCTTTTTGGGTCAAAATCCCAATATTTTGAAAATCCGAGATAGCAGTTTGGTTAACCCTCGCTGGGCCTATTGGCTTTCTATATACGCGCCGGCCGAGGGGGCGGGTACGACCCCCTCGCCGTTTCACCCCTGGTGGAGCTAGCGCGTCGCAGAAAAAATGAGCGTGTGTGACGTTGCAAGACGAAGAGAGTGATAACCAATTTTAAGGTCCTAGGTCAACTGGTGACCTCTGAGATCAGGTCAAGTGCCCAAGGTACGGTTCAGTTTTTGGTGAATAACTTCGCAAAAAGTGGCCGCAGGGCCGCGATATTGGCAGCGTCGTGTTCGACTCGCTCAGGCGCGTCGAATGATATACTGTTTGTTTGGGTCACGTCAACTTAGGGTGTTGACCTCAGGTCACGGTCAGGTCAGCGCCCCAAGGTCACGAAGTTGGATCATTTCGCATATCATTCGAAACGGCAGATCTTGTTGAGTCCATTGGTGGCTTTCCCGACTCGCTAGCTGAATTTGGTCGGAAGTTATTGACGAAAAACTAATATGACCTTGATGACGTCATAATTGACGTCACGCAAGGTCAACATTGCAAAAGTGACGCATCTTACCTTGCAAGGAGTGCATCAAATCACGATTCTGTGTGCTTGAGATAGTTAACCCTATTAGTGGCAGGCTCCTGGCTACCCCTATTAGTGGCAGGGGGGGGGCTGTTTACGACCCCCCTTGATATCTCGAGATCTAACGGGCCGATTTTCAAAATTCAAACGGCATTCGATTTCGCTCAACGTGATCTACATTTCTAGAAAATAAAAATTAAAAAATGTCAATAGGGGGGTAGAGGGAGGTAAAAACGGGCAAATTGCAGATACATTTTAGACTGTTAATCACGGCCAGGTTTCTGAACCAATCTTAACGCAACTTTTGCCGATCGATAGAGAATGAACCAGGAATTCACATGGATCCTAAAAATAAGCATTTTCAAATATCATAGGCGGATACAGATCATTGAGATTGGGGGTACACAAAAAGTATAGTAAATAAGGTTTTTGTTGGTACTGTCTCTAAAAAGGGTGGTAATGGTCTTGTTTTGTTACAATTTTCTTATGAAAGAACGACTACAATTGTATTGGTCATGCATTTGCGGTGTCAGGGCACCTATGTTGGGAGGTAAAACATAACCCCCCTTTTTGGACGCCTGGATCCGCCTATTATAGCAAAAACGTGTAAAAAGAGGATGCACAATAACTGTATATATTATCACATGATACCTTTCATTCACTGTTCGTAAAACTGGTGCAGCATCGTGATCTTCGCCCAAATGACTCGCTTCACGAATAGGACCCCCCAATTCCCAGTGCTCTGGAGCCGCCCCTGGTAAAGTTATGAACTTGAAATTTTCAGGGAATGTGCCCAATTTAGTTTTAGGAAAAGTCAGAAAATTTCAGCATCGTAGCTTCAGCGGTTTTGGAGATATTCCCGAAAAACCTGAGGGGTGGATAAAAACAATCCCCCCTGCCACTAATAGGGTTAAAGATCGTTCCCGGCGCCGGAATAGCAGTTTTAATTTTTCCCCATTGACTTATAATAGTGAGGTCACGAAAATGACCTGACCTTATATTACCTTTACGAAATACAAGTTGTGAGACTCGTAATTGAAACTATAGATCCTGCAAGTTTCATTTCCCTGTGAAAGTTTCTCTGGCAGTGAGGGCGTTGCGAAGTTGCGACATCTGAAGACCGTGCAGAGGTACACTATGACGTCACAGGTCAGTGACCTGACCTGACCCGAAAATGCAGTTGCTGTCAAAAGATTTGGCTTCAATCAAAGGCCAGGTATGCCAAGTTTCAGCTCTCTATCGCCAGCGTATTGAAGAAAAAAAATTCTATGGGGGCGGCACCCGCCCCCCCCCCCACTCGGCCTGCGAGGGTTAAATGCCAGCATTATCGCTCACGCATTATCGTATTATCGGAAACAAATCAGACTTTTTATTTTTTGCGATATCGCGATATCGCATTATCGCAAAATCGCAAAAAAGCACGAAAAAATTGCGTCCTGGAGCCTGGGCCTTACGGTGGCCACTTTGCCTCACTCTTCCTTTTGCTACTCACTGATTTGTCTTTTATGCAGCCATTCCAGTCCTTCTGAAGAGTCACGGAGTATTGTGGCTTCATCAATGCTCCGAATTGTGGCTTTATCAATGTTCCGAAGCCTGATGAATTTGTCATTCTTCGTCACGTAATCGTTGACTGTACAAACGCCAAGTTCCATAGCGATGTAGTAGAATTCATGAGACCTTACTGCTGTGTAGTACCTGCAAGGAAAATCAGATAATGTCAAATCTCTCTCTCTCTCTCTCTCTCTCTCTCTCTCTCTCTCTCTCTCTCTCTCTCTCTCTCTCTCTCTCTCTCTCTCTTCTTCTTTCTTTCTTTCTTTCTTTCTTTCTTTCTTTCTTTCTTTCTTTCTTTCTTCTTTCTTTCTTTCCTTCTTTCTTTCTTTCTTTCTTTCTTTCTTTCTTTCTTTCTTTCTTTCTTTCTCTCTCTCTCTCTCTATCTCGCGCTCTCTCTCCCTCTCCCTCTCATTTCTTTCTTTCTCTCCCTCTCAAATTTCATTGACCTAGGTCAAACCGATGACGATCTGAAAATCCGATCTTTGACCTGACCTGTGAAAGCAGAAAGACCTGTGAAACTGATGAAAGATCGGTCAGGTCAAATATCGGATTTTCATCGTCCACAGGCATTTCAATAAATGTGTTGTGAAATCGAGTAAATTGTTAAGTTATTGAAAACCATCGATGGTGCATTGTTCGTCAAACACATACTTTGCTATCTGAGGTCCAGGTCAGATAGCAAAGCAAAGATACCAGGTCAGGTCACAGAGGTCAGGTCACTGGGGGTCACAACATGAAAGTGTCGTGTTATACATGTTTTATGATCCATTTTAAATGAAAAATGCGATTATTTGGATCAGGCAGCCTTTGGGGCCAGTTTAGCTTACGTTCTGGTGAAGGTCAGGTCAAAGTCAGGTCACATTAGGTCAAATTTCAAAGTTAATATTTTTGCATAAAATGGGTATCGAATTAATGCAGCTCGTCACGGGTAGTCTAATTAATGATGGTCTTTGTTTTGCTCTACTTGGTCTAAAATTGCCAAAAAAACTAGTTTGAAAAATTGACGTCATAATTTTTGAACAGTTTTTTTTCCTATAACTTGGCCAAAAAAGATATATCGATCTGAAATTTGGTGTATAGATAGAAGACGGTAGGTACTATCATACATATTCCGTTTTAAACTAAAAAAACTTTATGGATTTTCTGGCTATTATATCCAAAAAATACTTTTTTGATTTGTGGGGGTCAAAATTAAAACAAAAATCAAAAATCTGAGATAGCAGTTTTGTAGCCCTGTCAATTCTACACCATTTTTGTGTTGATCATTTTTTTGTATCTTCAAAGCTGTAGGCCTGACAGCTCTTCTCGCGAAGCTCTTTTTTCGGTTGAAAATGGCAGAACATGACGTCATTCTGACATCATTTGTGGCCAACTAGAGTTGCAAAGTTTCCCCAAAGGCTGCTACCGGCACCGCCCCGCCCCACAAAAACTTTCTGGGATACCGGCATGCTACCACGCCCTAAGCAAAAAACCCGCCAAATTACCGGCATACAGTCAAGGGCGGCGCCACCGTGGGGGCAGTGGGGGCAGACTGCCCCCACTGGCAGGAGGTCGTGGGGGCAAGACTATGTTTTTGCCCCACAAAATTTGGCTGATGTTGACAAGGGAACAGAAGACCGGTGCAACATTCATGATAGGCGGCTATAATAGTACGCCTGTTTTTAACGGTCCCCGTATCAAGTGCATCAGCAGAACGTTCGTTCTTGGACTGTATGTCGCATATCTCCTACTCCCACTCATTCTCCTACTCATTTTCATTCACCAGAAGGCTGCCCTCGCCCCTCGAGCTTGACCTCGAGGAGGTTGAGAGGCAGTTTGTTAAAAGTCGGCCAGAGAATAGATCACCCTCTTTTGGGAACCCTTAGACTGAGACTGTGCTCAGGGAGGTATGACAAAATGTGATAGGTATGTTCGGGTTATCTGGGAATGTATGTGTGTCGCCCTAATGGAGCTTATTCTGGTATAGGTATCAATCATGTGTGAGAGAATCGCACATATACGTGCTACGGGAAAGAGAGAACAAGAATACACCATTTTACATATCAACGAACAACATAACGTTTTCACAGGTTTGTGTCTTGCAATCTAGTTTTATAGATTTATTTGTTCGCGACCCTAACCCGGCCGGGCCCAGGGCATAATCCCAACCACCGCAGCCCGGGGGTAGCCCTCCCCCCCCACCCCACCTGTCTAACAACGTTAATAAGGCAGCTACGGAAACAAAAATGGTACCAAACGAAAGGTATCTACGAGAAGATTCTAAAGCACCTAAACTTTTTTTACCTCAGGTCAATTCTCAAGGTCAGAAGTCAAGATCAAAGGCGAAAACCGGCACTTTTGTAGTGGTCTCAAAGTACGTGTTCCAGAGGACGGCAAGGTGTATAAACCCGGCTAAAATGGATGGTAACGAAAGAAGAGAGTCTGAGGATTCGGATTCCGATGACGTGCATAACATTCAAATTCAAGGTCACGGTCATGCGCATATGACCACAAACTTTGCTTTTTTTCTTATATCTTGTATACTAAATTCCGAGATGTTTTGAAATATTTTGGAGCTTAGCGGACCCCTATTTGTGCTTAAGCTTACGATACAAGGCTGGTACAGAGCACAGGGTCAAAGTCACAAGAGTATCCTTGCTAGAGTCTATTTCACTTATTCAACTCGGGCATAATAAATAAGACATGTTTTGCCATCCTGATGCTCTAAATGAATGCTTAGAGCAAAATGGATACCAGAATCGTGACCAGTGGCTACGAAATCATCACAAACAACCTTTCATGTGTAAAAGTCAACCAAAGGTCATTCGAGGTCACATGAGGTCAACTTAAAACTTGACCTTTTCCAAACAATTTACATGTATGTCATTCGACGCGTCTCGACAAGACGAATGCGAAGGTACCACTGTCGCAGCTCTAGGACCATTTTTGCTGAAGTTATTTGCGAACTAAACTAAAGTCCCAGCTCCGGGTCGTTGACCTGACCTCTGACCTGAAGTCACCAAAGTTACTTAACCCGTGCGGGGCTGGGGGGGGGTAAATTTTATCCACCCTCGCGAATTTTTGCAATAACTCAGAAACGGCGGCGCGCAGCGCCGCCAAACTTTCAGAACCTTTTCTTACATCAATTTGACACGTTTCCTGAACATGTGAGCGGATTCCGTCGGAAATTTTTGAGAAATTGACGCTTTAGTGACGTCATGTTCGCCATTTTCGCCTCAAAAACGGCAAAATTTCAAACGCCGCTAACATCTTCATTTGTAAAGGAATCAAGACGTAACAAAAAAGGTTATACGTAATTCTACTTTGTCTATCAAATGACCACCTCGGTTTTTTTGAAAATTTTAGATTTTAGCCAAAAAAAAATTCTTAAAAAACTGACTTTTTTTGGAAAAATAATTATAAAATTCAAATTTTTGAATGTATCAAAAAAACCGGAATATATGTCAGAGATGTGGTCTATGTGCACCTACATACCAATTTTTAGAAGACTCGGTTCCAAAATGTGGGAGTTATTAAAAATTTCATGGCGTCACGACACACAAAAATTTTGAAAAATGATTTTTTTTTTGAAGTTCTAGACCTCGTACGGAAGCAAAAATAGCACCATTCGATTCGCCGTGAAAAACTGCATCAGATAGACACCTTTTTAGGCCTTAACAACCAACTTCAAAATTTTACCTCACTTGACCTGACCTTGACCTGACCTCGACCTGTAATTCATCCAGATGTGGTCCATATCACCTATTGAGTGTGCCTATTGAATTCTATGAATAAAATGACCAATAAAACATGTGTCGCACATGCCCTTTTCTATATTTTGTTTTTGGTGACCTGACCTGACCTGACCTGACCTTGACCTTGACCTCTGAATGATATTTTATGCAGCGAATATTGTCTTGGTAGCCTAAGAACACGTTTTGGGCAATCAGTCTCAGTCCATTCTTCGGCAACTACGGTGTAAGGCCGATACTGTAGTTACAGGACAATTTGCCGAACTGCGTTTTGCCGAATGCTCATTCGCCGAATGTCAATATGTCGAATGCATTTTGCCGACGTGTCTTTTTGCCGACGTGTCAAAAAGGCGAAGTGCTAAAAGTCGAAATGCAATTTGCCGACATGCCTTTTTGCCGACGTGCAATAAGTCGAAAATGTCAATTTGCCGAAATGCTAGTTTGCCGAAATGTCAATTAATCGAAATGTCAATTTGCCGAAAAGTCAATTAGTCGAAATGTCAATTCGCCGAAATGCTAATTTGCCGAACTGCTAATTAGTCGAAATGTAAATTTGCCGAAATGTCAATTAGTCGAAATGTCAATTAGTCGAAATGTCAATTCGCCGAAATGCTTATTTTCCGAAATGCTAATTAGTCGAAATGTAAATTTGCCGAAATGTCAATTTACCGAAAAGTCAATTAGTCGAAATATCAATTTGCCGAAATGCCAATTAGCCTAACCAAACCTAACCTAACCTAACCCATAAGTATTAACTTTAGGACTGACTCACTTTTCAAAGGTAAATTTTACACATTCTTCCATTTTTTAGATCCTAAATCCTTCGGAATGCTTGATAGTGTTCTATCTTATCTGCCTCGATGGTGGGGTGGTTAGAACCGTGGCCTATCACCGGGGAAACCCGAGTTCGATTCCCGCTAACCACAGGAACTTTCGAAAGATACGCGTACGGCGCAACGCCATCAACATCTCAACATCCAGGTCCTAAGGGCCAAAGAAAGAACACCTGACGACGGCCGGAGAAGTAGCTGGCCGTAACGTTGTGAAATTAACATCTCAACTCAAGACGGAGACGAAAGTTCGACAACTAACATCAATGCTGCTAAATGATATGATACTTACTTACATGTCACCAAAATTTAAGAAAAAACATAACCAAACCTTGCCTAACCTGACCTACTGATTTTTGCCTACCCGTGGATAAGGAAGAAGTTACTCACATGAATATTGAATAGGTTGCAGACAATGATATGTCAATTATTTTTAGGTTAAGCGGTTGTGCATCAGGCTTACTTAGCCTAAAAATATTTGACTTACCATTGCCTGTAATCTCTCCTAAGACATTGCCTTCGGGGCCGGGGGGGGGGGGGGCGGGTGCCGCCCCCCCATAGGGTTTTTTCGCGATAGCTCCAA